TAGTGCCCCGTAGGCGCGTTGTAATATATGCAGCGACGTGACGATCGTCGGAGTTGTATCTCGCCGCCTGCCATGTTCCAAACCATTTTTTTTTTGTGTTAAATCAGATTTCAAAAATCAAATTTGAAAATCAAAATTTTCTATTTCTAGAAACAAGAAAATTACCAAAATCAACTTTTGATTATTCAATTCGTGAAACAATTTCTAACAAACACAAAGTAGGCTCTGATACCACTTTTGGGAATCTACTTAACATGCACAACAGAAAATTAAAACAAATTTTAATTTCCACCAGGAATCGTCTTTGTGTTTAGATAGAAATAGTGATAAAAGTGATACATTTTCACGATCTATAAACTCCTTTACCTTATTTTTGTTCCAGCAACTTGGATCTGTCTCCCACAACTGTCTAATTGTCTAACCTCCAATTGTGATCCACACAGAGAACAAGATTGTAGTATTAGAATTTTTCTTGTGCTGGTAAGAATAATGAATTCTCTACCAAATTGTAAACCATAATAAGTTATTTATATAAGCCAAAATGGGCATGGCCTGACCTGATCCAACATTTAATTAATTCATTTAATTAAATTCGATCCGTGAATTAATTAATCCAATTAATTAATTCGGGCCTATAAATAACCAATCCAATTAATTAATTTATCCAATGATTGTTAAATTAGTTAATTGATAAATTGCAATCTTCCAATGGATCACGATACCTAACGACGTGAAATATTATTTTGATCTAATCAAAATTGATAAATTAAAACACCATTTTAATTTATCACAAATTCACATTCGCCGTCCCAGATTGACATCTAACAATGTGTGAGGGCAATACATGTGACGGGAAATGTCATGTAGTATGACAAAATCAAACTCTTTCGTTTACCGTGAAAGTATAATCCCTTCATCAATATAATCCAATCAATTACGAGATATGGAAGTGTATCAGTCCCGATTATCGATAATATCTTTCACTCCACTATTAAGTCAATATAAATCGAAAACTCCTTTTCAGCTTATCAGTACACATTGACCAAGGATTTCGTTATCGACTTAATTAAATGAAATGCAGATTATAATCTCTTACTATCTAAGAGTGGCAAATTCTCTATTGGTCACTCACAACCATCATACGATTCTTGACATGCAGCGGCCCTTGGCAGGACAACATCCAGCACTGTTAAAGTATGATTGTTCTCATATAAGGTAATATGACGACCTCAAATCAAAAGACCATTCTCACTATCGAACGTTAGAGATTAACCACCGACACTCAGAGAGTTATCTATGTGGAATCTCTAGGCGAGTCTCCAATGTTTTGTTCTATAACAAAACATCCACGTATTCATTCAAGTGTCACCACACATTAGCTTGTGAGATCAGCGACTTACTTTTCAAGTAAGAAATGTCACACGTGATGGTCTATCCATAATAACGATATTCGTATCTCGTTATTACTTACGACCACAGATAATTTAAGATGCAATCATATGTAATTTGTATCTCACAATCACAATGCCTTGTGATTAACAAATAACAAAAATTTGAATCTACAGACTCTATTATTTAATTTATTTAAATAATAGATCTGCCATTAAATTGCATTAATTATATATTAAAAGTATTTCTGTCCAAGGTTGATTGGACTTAGGGCATAACATTTACAAAAGATACTATGAAAAGTGACAGATGAATGATGACAACATCTTTATAAATGATTTAATCTTTTAAAGAATTACCTCAATTTGTGTTTTGTATTCAAGGAAAAGTTGATTATGATCTCTCAACTTTACATTCATCCATGATATTTGTGAGCTTAACAACAGAACTTCATTTGGTTTATCTCAATTTGTTTAATCTTTGACATGCTCATTTGGTTTTGAGAACTAATATATGTATATGTTTTTACTTATCAAATAAAGTAACTAGGTATAAAAGGAAAATGATATATGTAATATCTTATATATGACTATCATAACTTTTAGTATTATTTCACTAGAATTCCAATCAATGTTTAACTTGACTTGAGATGTCTTAGGTCATAGTTCATTATTAAGAGAACATCTTTTGAAATATTATGCCTTCTTGATGTTTTGGGACTTCATGAAACTTATAAAATCATTCTCTCTCTTCCTTATTAAGAGAACATCTTTTGAAATATTATGCCTTCCTGATGTTTTGGGACTTAATGAAATTTATAAAATCATTGTCTCTCTTCCTAACAAATTAATGTTCTAATTTAGTATTCACTTTAATGCTTTATGTTTTCTTTGTTTCCCCAGTATCTGTGCCTCTTCTTTTGTTTTTTTTTTTTGATGATTCTGGATCTTAAAAATTTTAAAAAAAATGTTACTTTGGTGTGATATAGTAAAATGGCCCTTATCAACGGTTCAATTTAGGTCCACAGTCCCATTTAACACACTCTTTTATCTTGAGTCTTTGAAGAAAATAAATAAACTGGAAGGCCTAGACAGAGAAAAATTGGCAAGGCTCTTACAATAAATAGAGACTAGCTTCCTGCCAAAGTGGTGTGATAACTCTTCCTCTTGTCTTTATACCTGATACATGTGTGTAACTGTGTATGTTTATATGTTGATGCCTGCATGTTGCATTCCTATAGATGCTTGTGTGTTTTTATGCAATTTCATGTCTGCTCTATTTATATTCTCTGTCATGCCTTTGGGACTTTTTACCTACATTCGACCTTTGGAGTTTGTAGCATACTCTTATAGTAAGAAGGAGGCAAATGAAAAAGATGAGCGTGAAAGGCTACGAATCTCACAAGATCATACAGATGTAGCTGATAATGAAAGCATGGATGAGTGTTTAGGCTTTTAAGTTGCATGAACTTATACAAAATCAAGATTTTGTCTTTTATATTTTGCTCACTATTAGTTTGTTACCTTATCTGACAGTTACAAACATGTATATTTTAACATAGATTTGTCCAAAACTTTTCGCTATTATTCAGAAACTTCAAATTCCTATTTTTAATATTCATAAAATGATGACAAATTTATTACTCATTTTTATTGCATAAATAGATTTAACGACTAATGTAAAATGATTTTTATATATGTAAAGTAATATATATAAATATAATAATGCATGCAATAATTTTTTTTAAATAGATAGAAAACTACAACATGCAATAAATATTGCTAAAAAGTCAATGGCATCACATAATGAACGTTGCTAAAAAGTCAATGGCAACGCACTCTAAACGTTGCTAAAATTATCAATGGCAATTTGCAGTGAATGTTTTTAAAACGTAAACGACAACATTTAATGAATGTTGTTAAAACATCGATGACAACGTGCAATGAATGTTGCTAGAACATTAACAGCAACGTACAATGAACGTTGCAGTATCAAAAGACCCTACGGAAACACCACATCCTACAACATGCGCCTGGACATTGCAAAAGGGTTTTGACAACGTTTTTTCACTGCTACAAAAGGCAAGTTTGGTATAGTGGCTCCTAGGTATAGCGGGGTTTGTAGTTCTATCAATTTTGAGGATTTTGATTAAGGGTTCTCCAGGCGATCATCTAAGTGGGTTTGTTAAGCATGAACTTAAGGGCATAGGACTAGGCCTTGGTTAGTCCTTGGCCCAGGCTTCTTGCCATTGACTTTTACACTTTTTTTGCCAAGTGTTGGATATAAATTATAGTCTTCCATCTTTTTCCGTGTTGGCGATCAGCCTCTCAGAAGGAATGGGGTCGGCCTAATAGCCTAATCTAGGTAAAGGCTCTAAAGTCTTCTCATTTCATTGTGTAATTTTTTTCATATTAAAGAATGATGAGGGTATCCTAAGTCGACAAAATTTTGAAGGTGATGCTTAAAAATTGATGCCCATGCTGGAGTGGCTTTAGCCAAAAAGATAAACATAAAATCATCTAATTGGTTAATTTCAAGCCTAATTGAAATACTATAGAAAATCCCTATTAGTTATAAATTAATTCTTATGTGTCACTACAACAAAAATGGCCTTTTGTAACGTTCAAAAAACGTGTCGAAACCTTTTGCAACGTTCGGCCATATGTTATAAATATGGATGTTGTTGTAGAGTAGAAGTATACAACAATGTTTAAAATGCAAAAAAACACTTTCGCAATATTTTCCGGCTGTTGCTAATAACCTTTTAGCAACGTTTTTCAACTATTACTAATAACCTTTTCGCAAAATATATTTTTAGCAACACTTTAAACATGTTGCCGAAACTTGTGTTAATGTTTTCAAACTGTCTGTAAATGTTGTTATTAATCTTTTTGTAACATTTTTTCAACGTTGCCTTTATCCTATTTGCAACATTTTTTCGAATGTTGTCTTTACTTTTATTTTCATGTTTCCAAATGCTATCACTACTCTTTTGCAACATTTTTTGAACGTTATTTTTAACTTATTTGCTATGTTTTATTGAATGTTGTTGTTTTTCTAATTAATTTGCAACGTCTTTTAACTTTTTTTTTAAATTACTTTACCTGCTATTTTATGCAACGCTTACTAAACGTTGCAAAAAGAAATGCTGCAAAAAGTTACATGTTGTGAAAAACTATATATCTAAGTATTTGCAATAGTCACTGAACATCGCTATAGAATGAACTTTTAAAAATGGCTAATAAACGTTGCGAAAAATAAAACTTTTCGCAACACTCAATAAACATTGCAAAAAGGCTATATTAGTAACATGGTTTTAAAAAATGTTGTCAAATCTCAATTATGTTTACCAATGGCAACATTTATCTACATTTTTGTTACGATAGAGACCTTTAGCAACATTCAACTAACAAATGTTGCATTTTATATGTTGCAAAATGACATTTTTGTTATAGTGTGCAAGCGATTATGTAAACTCAAAGATTGGAATGTTTTATCAAAAAAGAAATTAATTCTTTATGTAACTATAGAAATTAGCAAGTAATATTGGTCCGCCATAGTGCATGAATACTCAGAAAAAGTACTTCGCGAAATTAAAAAAAAAACAAATGTTTAGACAAATGATGAAGCTTTAAAACTCATTTCTACACTTTTTATTCAAGTGCAAAATCTGTTGTGCATGCATATACACTAACAAATCCAGATTCTCACGCTTACATAAAATAACATATGATCCACAATTACAACTTTTATGCAACCACATTTTGAGCCGTTATAGCCAAGCAGACGGACACTTTCTTTGTAAGTTGCTTAGACAGATTTGCTAGAGGGAACGTAGCACCAAAGTTAGAAAGTTCATCATCACACTCGGTATCCAAGGCAGCGCTTAATTTAGTTTGCAAGGTGGCAATGTCACCAGCTGCAAGAGCAACTTGTCCCTCCTCTAGCATATCAATGACGGTCTGGAAAGACTCCTTGCATGTTCCTTGAAGGGATTTTTTGGCTGCAGGTGACAGATTAGCAACTGCTGGTGCAATCAACTCATTCCTTGATTGGAGTTCCTTAGCCACAGATAGTGTTGCATTAATTGCATTTCCTATGGCGTCATGCCAGTTGGTAGCGCCATTGATCACGGTATTGCAAAGGGCTCTGCTTCGCCGTGCAGTTCTGCAAAAAGGGCTGACCTGGATTCGAGTTGCTACGGCAGTTTGCAAGGTGGCAATGTCACCAGCTGCAAGAGCAACTTGTCCCTCCTCTAGCATATCAATGACGGTCTGGAAAGACTCCTTGCATGTTCCTTGAAGGGATTTTTTGGCTGCAGGTGACAGATTAGCAACTGCTGGTGCAATCAACTCATTCCTTGATTGGAGTTCCTTAGCCACAGATAGTGTTGCATTAATTGCATTTCCTATGGCGTCATGCCAGTTGGTAGCGCCATTGATCACGGTATTGCAAAGGGCTCTGCTTCGCCGTGCAGTTCTGCAAAAAGGGCTGACCTGGATTCGAGTTGCTACGGCACGTTGGACGAAAACAGATGCCATTATAGTCAGAAGAAGAAATGAGAAAGAGTTGAACTTTTTGGAGGCCATGGTTTTGAAATATTTTCTTGCCTTTTTTTAGTTTCACCCTCAAAAGGTTCCTGTCTTTTTCATTTTCCTTCCTTTGGAGTCTTGCGCTTGTGGATTAGAGAGGAATGACTCTTTCCCTTGGAATTTGTATCATCCTTAGACCCTATTTTCTTGCTTTAAACGTTCATTGTTGTTATCTTGAGACCACAAAGATTTGAAGTTCTCCATACTTATAGGAAAACTTCTATTATTTTTTGACATAGAAAATTCTCTCGTTGGTGACCATAATATATATATACACACACACATTTTATTATTGCCCCAAGTTGGTAAATAATGATCCAGAAAGAGGGAGAGAGCAAGTAGTGGTGTAAATGAACCAATATTTATGTCGTGAACAATTATCAAGCTCCAACATGAGAATTGTAAATTAGATTTCTAGAGATACAACAAATTCAAAATTAATCTAATTATATTAGTGCAAGGATGAGTTTAGTCCATCCTAGAGGGATAGTTTTATCTTACTCTTCTTCATTTTTATTTTTTATTTTTTGCCTTTGCATTTTATATCTTAAAATTAAGAGATTCCAATTTATAAATTTTTGAGCGTCTTTTTCAAAATAATTACATCTTTTAACAGAAATCAATATGAACCATTAAATAAAAAATAAAAAATAAAATCCATATTTAATGATATAAACTGTACTCTATCAAAAGATCATGACTTTTCATAATATACATTTTCGAGAAGTTGTACGAAACAATATGACTCTTTGACATACACCCTTCACATTTGAAGAGTCCCAACTCAATGCATTAATTAAAAAAATTTCCAATTCACACATAAAAATTATATTGTAAATTCCAATACAAAGGATTCAATCATTTAAACAATTTCCACGAATTAACACTCTCAAGCAGTGCAACTTAATAATTTACAGAGATTAATCAAAAACAAGCGACAAGAGAGACCTTGAGTAGCAGTAAAGAGTAGAGTTCGGGTTCTGAAAGGTGGACCCTAACAAATGTCAAGGGACGCATTTTATACACGTTTTTCATCTTGGTTGTAAAATTATTTTCAACAATTTTCTTTTTCTGGAATAGTTGTGCACGCTTGTTGAATTCAAAGAATTTCATGATCATAGTAAATTAAGTGAATTACTTATTTACAAATTATCTCTTACAAATTCTCTTAACATAGGACACTGAAATATGCAAATAGGGTCGAAAAAGCTTTCGAAGCAGATCAAAGCACCACTCGTCAAAAGAGTCAAGCTTCAATTGAAATTCATCAAGAAGATACTGAAAAGCCTTTTTCCCAAGTATTAATGACGCAGATGCATAACATTTCTATCAGTTATTTGGTGATAAATTTATTCAGGAATATACATGAGCCAAACATCAGAATCCATATATATTTTCAGTTAAATGAGAACATGTTTGCTCAATCTTCAGTGTAGAAATGCCCAGAAAGACTGTTCATCACGGCCAAATGCATCTTTTCTGAAGGTTTCCAGTGCCTCTTCCTTTGATTTATAAACCAGTTGTTGATTTGCTTCTGGTCTAAACCCGTTGATTCTGCCAATGAAATTTTATCTGCCTCCTGGATATGATTTTGAACGCGTAATAAAATATTAAGGGTAAAATAGTTCACATTGCAAACTTAAAAATGAAAACAATAATCAACAATTTGGGTTAGTCCTCTTAACCCCCAAGTTTCAATATAGTATTAGAACCCAAAATCCCAAACAAACATTTCAAGTTCAAGATGGGGTATAATTCTCATATCGTTTAAAATATGAAAACAATAAACAATACACTATTACTCTTCGAGATGGATCACAAGTCTAAATACATAGAAAAGATAGAAATCAATAATATCACAATACAAAGGAAAAATGAATTTACCTGCCCACAACCTTGTGTTCCTCGCTTGTAAGAATTAGACTGAATAATTATTTTCTTGTTTACTTTATACCTTATGTATAATTTAATAAAATACTTTATACCTTATGTATAATTTAATAAAATTGATAATTTGCCCCCATTTTCATGAATTAATCGAGCAGTTATACATTTTTATTCATTGATAGTGACACTTTTAACATCTGCATGAACATTATTCAACAAGCATGGCGACCAATATTACATATGGTGTAGGACTCTCACTTTACGAGTTATTTTTTGTCATTAGAAAACCACATAACAACATGAGTAGTTCTATGTTTAATAAATTAAACTAGATAGGTCGAGACAACTCATTTGCAAAGTTTTGTTGAATGCCTTAATCCTGTTCAGTCCTATCCAAACATGCCCTGAAAGTATTATTTGCATTTCGCCAAAGAGTAAGAATCAGATTGGTGGATGGAAATGCAAGATTGAAAAAATACTCACGGTTGGATAGGGCCATTTATAGTGAAAATTCCACCATTCAAGTAATGTTTGCCTTGCCCCTTTAGGTAGCTTTCCTTTCTTCTTCTTCTTTGAAAATTCTAGCCTTAGGCTACTTAGGTGATTACCGTACCTTTGTAAGAGCTTATCCTTGAGCTCCCGGTCTTCAGTTTTCGCCTGTGTATCTTGTATTTCTATTTCTCCCCCATTATGCTCTTCGTCCGAGGATAAACCACCATCATCTGGCCATATAATTGAAAAAGATAAATTCTTAACCAATATGCACGGCACATTTTATTAGACATACTTGGGAGGGCCCGGCTTAACCTCCAGCTAAGCCCTTAGAGCCCCATTTTTAAACCAAAATACATTTTTCAACAATGATTTGATATCATTTCAATCACACATTTTTCAATAAAATAATATTATACGCAAATCAAAAAAATTTCCTTATTTTTTAACCACACATTTCCCATCAATACACTATTCAAAAACTCATTTTCTTCACAAAAATGAGGCTCAAACAAGGGCTAAATATGAAAAAATAATGAAAGAGCTAAAAACATTACATTTTATGAATAACATGTATTTGATTCCAAGAGGAGCACGAGCTCCTCTTCAAGTTTATTTGAACGATGTTTGAATTATCATTGCATACATTTTAAATTATGAAAGTTGTATTATTGTTGAACTGCCATGCACAAATCATAATCCATCGAAACTATTTACACATAACACGAATTTTGTAAACAAGAGAAGATAAAATTTAAGCTTAGGACCCTTTCTCGTACCATAACTACTTGCCTACTAGCCGCCACGTTGAGTCACTGTATCAGCAATTATATTATAATTTTTTTTTATTCGGCAGATTTATTTTATTTTATTTTATTTTTTTATTTTTTGTAATTTTAATTATCTATTTTATGAGTCAGTCATATATCGTCAGTTCTTAGAAAACTATGCCTTGCCCGGGCAGACTGTAAGATAAATCTTATCAAAGTGACAGCAAAAGAAATTTAATTGTTTGGAACTCCATAACCTCTATGGACCCACTGAGTTTCTTTATCTCAAGGCCCAGTGAAGTGCTTGATGATTTTGGCGAATTCATCGTTCCTACCAAAAAAGAATAATATGGATACGTGGGGTATCAAATAAGTTATTTACTTTCACATATTTGGCTTTTTACTTAAAAAAGTTTATACTTCTCATAATATGAAAGGAAGTGGAAAGAAGTCACTTATTTTGACATTGAAGTATGGCTTACATGCTAGTTAATACTTACATTTTGATTGAAAATAAGTCCAATTTGATCGATAAAAACAAATGGAAGACCCATCACAGAGGGAGTTACAAGTATAAATCATATGGATGAAGTTACAAATTTGATTTACAATTGAATTTTTTTTTTCTTGAGAGAACAAATGATTAAATGATACTAAAAGCTTCCAGTCTTGCACCCCGACTATATGAAGAGAAAAATTAAGCGTAGATCTTATTTATTATGGCCCTATTTGAGCCGCATTTATTGAAAAATAAAATACATTCTTAAATACTAATTTGACATTATTTTAACCATGCATTCTTTAATAAAATGGTATTACACACAAATCCAAAAAATTTACTTATTTTTTAACCACGTTCTCCATCAATCTACTATTCCAAAATACATTTTTTCAAAATAATGCGGCTCAAACACACTATATTGTCAACGGCACACCAAATATGTCTTCGTTAACTAAATCGATGTATAGATTATTCAAACCAACAAAAGTTTGAGAAACCGACTCTAAATTACAATGAAGTTACGAAAACAAAAATTAATAACTACAAAAAAACTTGAAAACTCATTTAGCCCCCCGTTTAATATCCATTTTTTTCAAAATGCATTTTTCTCTCTCTTCTTTTCAACCACACATGCGGCGGGGGGGGGGTGGGGGGGGGGGGGGGTTAAGTATCATGTTCTTGAGCTTGTAACTGCAACAAATACCTAGCCCCTGCTTGTTTTCATTTTTTTCTCATTAAAATGAAAAATATGATCGTTATCCATCACATCAAGCCAACAAATTTGAATTTCTATCACTTGTATAGGACCCATAACGGCTATATCTTTCATTCTCCTTTTTACAAAAATGAGAAACAAACACAATTCTAGTCGCATTAACAAACTTCCAATTACCCATTTGCAAACAAAAACATTGATTCAGAGATGATAATCAGCCACTCTAGTCCATAGGCACAGGTATTTCATGTTTATTTCAGTTTCATTAACAGCATGATTAACAGCAGAAAATTCGACTACTCTAATGGGTTTCGAGCACTTGACTAATATCGTATCAATAAATATTTCTTGTTGCAGTTCTCACTCACATGCATTGTTTGATGCTTGAAAACAATACTTGCCTGAGCGAAACTTGTGCAGAAAACAATGATCATATCCTTGTGAAATTCGAAACTTAGTAACACAATTATCCTAGAGGATCGTCTAAACATGATTCAATAACACAAGGAAAATTTTGGCTAATGGACTTGGCATTGCTTCAAGAGCTTGCCAGTAAATCCTAGTTTCCTCAAAGATTTTAGCTTCTTCAGAGGACATAAAAGGTATCATGCAATAAATAAAGCAATATTAAGGTCATGTCATGTTGAATTCAACAACTCACAACTTTCACCAAATCCTTAGAACTATAGTCTTACAATAAGAATCCCTCCGAAGCTTTCTCCTCAACAGTCGATTGAAGA